TACACTAACTGAAAGAAACAGTAAAATATTAGAATACAACAACAATAACAAAGTTAAGCCTTATCACGATTGTACTTGGGCTTGGCTACATGATTCCTTCACTTTCACTCTGTTCCATATAGCACTGAACATGTCTGAATGTCATGAAATCAAATCTTTTACAGAAGCTGTATAATTGCAAACTGACTTACAATTGTTGATGCTTGTTCTTTCCACTCTGAAAAGCTGACCGTGAAGATTGTCATCAGGTGTTCATAGTCACTGTTGCACCTGGAGATGTGGTGGTTACAGGAACTGATGGCTTGTTTGATAACTTGTATAATAAGGAGATAGCAGTTGTTGTGGCAGATGCTGCCAGAGATGGCCTTAGCCCAGATGCTACCGCACAAAAGATTGCAGCTTTTGCACGCCTACGATCTTTAGACAGGAAACAGCAAACTCCATTCTCCACTGCAGCACAAGAAGCTGGATATTCTTATTATGGTGGTAAACTTGATGACCTAACATTTGTTGTTTCATACGTCTCTTTTTAAACTAGTCTTGATAATTTTGCACAATTAGATCGTGTCTGTATCTGAATATTCCAATTTCATTTAATTTTGTCTCCTGCAACACATTTTATGAGGTTCCCATAAAGAACCTTAGAGTTTTGTTTATGCTTTTGGCTGAGAAGTGAAAGTCATCTCTTTTAAGGATTCATCTATTGCGCCTAAATGATCTTCTCTTTGCCCTTGATCTATAATGCAAACCAAATCATTAGTGAACAGGACAATAGTTCACGTAGAAAGATTTGGCTCAGTCGGTTTCTTCATCGTAATCTTGATTATCTTGCCATCCTCGAACCTATACATATGAGAATTCATTAAAGTTGTCTTCATTTAAAAGCTGCACCTCGCCATCTACTTTCTGTCATTGCTCCACCTTAATTTGGAGCATCTCAGCTTGAGCTTTAGGCTGCAGTCAGTTTTCCCATAATGTTTGACATGCTAGACAAAACTGGACTGGATACAAGTAAGAGAAGTTACCCAAGTTCATTCATGGTTTTTGCAACTCTGTCGTGGACTGTAAATTCAAGATGCTAAACAAAGTTGAATACTCGTTCAGTTAAAAACTTGAGAACAGTTTCATAGATGCCAGTTCAGAAGCTCAAAAAAATAAAAAATAAAATATATATATTTGGAAAGTCATAATTTTCTAAGCATAAGAAGAAAAAGAAATATCTCTTCATACTTCTCCACTTCATCTAAAACATCATCAGTCAAATTCCCATACTCTTCATGTGGTACTATCGTTCTCATTCTTTCATCATCTACTTTGTATTCTTGAATCCAAGATCCGGATGCAGATCATAAACAAGGTGAAGTACCAAAATAAAACACTGATTGGATTGAAACTAAGATATTACTACGAATGAATTATGCATTGGGAATGAATGCAGGAATTAAACTTAGTCATTGCTATAATACGAAGATACAAAGTTATTCGATTGCAGGAAGGTGGTTAGACCGAGTTCATAAGCACGGTAATACATTACAAAAGCTTATTACAGGAAATTTCAAAAAAAGGAAAAAAATGAGGACAGTACATTTATTTATCTCAAACACATCTGAAAACTCTGAAGGATCATCACCAAGAAAACCACCTCTTAGTCTTATACTTTAAGCCTCCTCTTTTCCTCATTGTTATCCATATACTTGTTGGCCGCTGCTTCCGCCACCTCCTTGTTGCCTTGCTGCTTCCTCCTCCCTTTGTGCCTCCTCCTGTTGTTTTCTTTCTTGCTCAGCTGCCTGCTCTTCCTCACCCCTTCCTGGTTGCT